TATAATTTATCAAGAGGCCATGGGGGTGGAGGGGGCAGGGAGAGGAGCTGACACCAAGGGTTCAATAGAAAATAATGATGGCAACATATGTACAAATGTGCTTGATACAATTGATGTATGGATTGTTACAAGAGCTGTAAGATTTTGAGAATGATATACAAATGTACTTTACACAATTGATGTGTGTATGGATTGCGATAACAGTTGTATGAGCCCCTAATAAAATGTTTAAAAATAAATAAATAAAACTAAAAAAAAAGCTGTAAGAGTCCTCAATAAAATGGTGTTTTTTTTTTTAATCCAGAGGCTTTGAATTCATATGTGCTTTTCAGAAATTCCTGGACTTCTGCCAGTGTTCATTCAGATTTTACAGTGCGAATCAGAACCTGGTCTTTGATCATGTTAAAACTAGATTACACGATAGAGACATTGCCCTCCTTTCAGTTGGATTTTCAATTGAGAACATTACGATTGGTGTTCTAGCAGTTGGTGCTGGAGAAGCATATCGAAAGTACAGTGGATGTTGAAAGAACTGTAGGAAGAAACAAACCTGTCTTGGAAGAAGTGCAGCAGAATGCACTTTGTGAAGGTTCATCTCACATGCTTTGGACGCATTAGGAGACCAATCCCTGGAAGAGGACATCAGCCTTGGAAAAGCGGAGGGGTAGTGAGAAGAAAAAGGCAGACCCTTGCCAAGATGAATGGACACAGGGGCTACGACAATCAGCTTAAACCCAAGACACTTGTGAGGATGGTGCAGGACTGCGCAGGGCTTCCCTGTATTGGACATCGGGTGGCTCTGAGATGCAACAGAATGGTATCAAAGCTTAACTTGTAACTTGTAACCACCTGGTTTGCAGAAGGCTATGCCTGGCAGTGGAAGCTCAAAATCCATTTGCCCAGTCCACACGTCAATTAAGCCTAATGAATCTTCTCTGACCATAGTGGAGGCATGTAATTGCCTTGTTGTCATGTAAGTGAATTGGAAAGTGGATTACTGTGTAGTTAGAGCATATAGGTATAGTTAGGTTAAAATTTATACCTTATCATTTGATCTCCCCTTAGACCATAAATTCATTCTGGTTTTCAATATTTTCTACTTTCTTTTTAATGGAAAATTTTGTTTTACTTTGTTATTGTTAATTTTTTGTTTTTCTGGATAGGTAAATCTATAAATCAAGGATAGGTAAATATATTTATAGAGTAACTGGACTAATAGTTTCTTGGCCATCTGGTGGGGTAGGTTGGGGAAATGGGGACAAGAAAGAAGAAAATGTTCTAAAATTGATTGTGGCCATGATTATACAAGTATTCTTGATATGACTGAACTACTGAATTGTAAGATATGTGGATTATGTGGCAACAAAATGTTATTTTTTTTTAAGGCCAGAAAATTCCTCTCAACATGCACACAAAAATTAATTCTTTGTCAGGAATGGCATTCCAGTGATCTAAGTCATGACAAGTCACTGGATTTTTTTTTAGGATGAAGTTTCTGTTCTTTCCCATCTGGAAGAAAGAAGAAGAGAAAACCAGAGACAGGTCTATAAGGAGAACCGTAGCACTAGGAAGATGTGCACATCTTAGAATAGTCAACGACGTGAGATCAAACGGCAGTCACTCAAGGACGATGTTTAGAAAGTTAGTAAAGGAAAAGGAAACCACAGGGAGGAAGTTATGCTACATGGCAGGATTCGGGTCATTGCATTTAATGACCTGAAACAACATGTGCATGAATTACGGAATGGAAAATTGATCTGCCCTGTAGACCTTCACCCAATCACAGCAAAAAAAGATTCCAGTTAAGTAGACTGGGAATGGCAGGTGGTGAGAGTCTGTATTTGTAGTGTGTGTGTAGTACAGTTGTTGATGCTTTCACTCTAGACACCAACGATGGACATGTTAAAACTTTGAAAAGTTCAGAGTGTATCAAACACAAGAGCCATACTTGCAAAATTATTTATTTACATTTTAAGCTCATGTTCAAATCTTTCTAAGATAGAAAGGCCAAGATAAACTATAGGAAGCCAAAATACATTTATCCTAATCTTGATCTGAACAAAATTCAAGAGTGACTGTAGACAAACTCAGCTCTCCCCTTAGACTTTCCTTCACAAAGAAGAAAACGTTGCCTTAAATCATGTGGTGATAATGGCACTCCCCAATAAGAACAAATTTAATTTAAATCATTCAAAACCGAGAGGTAAAAAGCTAACTTTGATCATTTGTTACTCAATAACCACTGTTAGGTCATAAAACCAAAACTACTTTACAATGTTGAGGTGGTCAAATAGGCCTAAAGCTAACGCCAGGGTAAGTTTTACTTATGGAATGACCTGGTTTGATAGATAGTGACTCGGATTTTGGCTTTAGTTGTATAATTATATCATCCCCTCGAGCCATTATAAGCAATCTACTCAAAACAGAACTTACTTAATACTCTTACAAAGTCTTGGCTTTGCCTGGATTGGGGATATCTTTAAGATGCTGGCAATAACTCTACCTTTCTCTTTTTCTTCCTCTGGTCAAAATAAAAGAGGAGTCAATCATAAGAATCACAAAAATAAATTCATTTTCCACATTTAAAAATTAAAGTCCATCATAAAGCCCTTTTCGTTCTTTAAAAAATAGTTCAACACAATACTGGCCTTGGGTCCTGATGCATTATTGAAATAACTCCACCTGTAAGATCTGTAAGATTTCTTTCTATACCTAGAGAGCCTATGACATGGTGATCTATTTGTGTAAAACTTCTTAAAAATTAAATATGTATGCAATGCATCTGCCAGGAAGGATTCATGCTTATGCCAATTTTTGAAATCTGGATTTAGGAAGAGAGTCATAAAAAATCAATCAATCAAAATACTGTGGTCAGGGCTGCCCTTCCTCATCTACTTCTCCCCCTGAACCAATCTGAGTGGAAGAGCCCAGGCTGCTAAGAAGTCCAGGAAGGCAAAGTAGAATTATGTCTATTTTACTTCCAACATTTGCCTATAAAGGATTAGCATCCCAAAGGCAAACTTTGTTCCCTTTCCTTGAAATGAAGATCCTGTCTGCCAGGGCTATTTTAGATCACTGGCCTTAAGAAATTAAAAAAAAGGAAAACATTAAAAACAAGACAAACACACACACACAAACAGACCTAGTGTTTTTAATAAACAAACAGCTAAATGTCTAACACATATAACTTGCAATTATAACGAGTTGCTACTTAATAGCTGAAGGCACACACTAAGCATTTAACATTTTAAACTCAAGTCTTTAAAACCTGCAGGCTAGCTTACAAATTGCAGTTCTCAATCTAGTCTACTGCCGCACAGGGTGTGCGTTCACCTTGGTGGCAATTTGCATGCTGATCCCTTCTCCCAATCTTTAAGTGGAGAAAAGGAAGCAAGCACATTGATTAAAGAGCTCTGGCGGTGCAGAGGTTAAAGCACTTGGCTGCCAAAAGGTCAGTGGTTTGAAGCCCACCAGCTGCATGGAGGGAGAAGGCCTGGCCATCTGTTTCCATAAAGATTTACAGCCTTGGGAGTCCTGAGGCAGTTCTACCCTGTCCTGTAGGGTTACCACGAGACAGAACTGAACCAATGGCAGTGGGGGTTTATGTTAGTTAAATTAACTTCCATTTGCACAGAGATTGATCTTGGATAAAAAGCTTTTAAATGTAGGCGAAAACTTCCTATAAAATCATAGTTACAATCATTGTACAATATTTTATGTATACATACACACAAATTTGTAGGAAGTAAGCAAATTAAACTATAGTTTTCATAATAAAGGACAACCAGTGTGATCATATGCTAAGCCAGCTATTTGATAAAGATGCTGGGCAATCACTAAGTTGCAGCATAGCACGTAAATCCACCATAGATGCTCAGTTTTATTTTTGTTCAGAGCCAAAGCCTAGCATTTTTAACATTTAAAAATTCTGGTAAAGTGAATGCCATGCAAATAGTTGGGTTTATGAGGAATATTTACATTGGAGAAGAAGATTTAGGGAAGACATGATAGTGGGTATATTTTGAAGTGTAATTATAGGGATTAAATCAATTTTTTAAAGGGGAAAGCAGGATGTTTTGATAATAAGAGTTATCTCCACAATGAAAAGTTCAACGCCGGGGTGAACTCTCACAACTATGAACGATGCCTGAGCAGAACTCTTAGAGCAGGTGGAACAGCCCCAAAGAAGCCGGAGGTGCCTTGATGGGGTTTAGTTTGAGGCTGAGTTTCTGACATTGTCTGACCAAGTAGGCAGTTTACCTATGTTTCTGCTCAGAAAGCAGGGCTTAATTCTGTCATTAGAGCTCACGCCAACAGATGGGCATGGCCTTGCTCGAATGCATCAAAGTGGAACTTTCCAATCTAACTCCTTTCCTAAAATGCCAGGTAGGTGGGTGACCTCGATGAGCTTTGTTAGAGTTCTGACCTGTCAGGTTCTCCACCGACTTCTGACTGAAGTAGTCTAGAAACGGAGACAGTTCAGTGCTACCCCCCATGAGAACCAGTCCACAACCACATTGCCTTGTTTCTCTAGGTCTCGAAGTCTGCCAGCCTTCCGACTTTCCCTATTGCTCGGCTTAATGAACATATTTGAGTTTTTCTCCTGTGCCGGGTGTCTGCCTTACACAGGTCTTGTCTCCTGTAGGTTTTACTGTACCTTGGGAACAAAAGGTTAGTCAATCAAAAATGCCTGTTGTGCTCTAAAGCCCCGGTCTGGACATTGCATGGAAGTTCCATTGGACCCTGCTTTACTGTAGGTGGCATGCCAATGCTCATCTCAGTTGGAAATTCTTACCAGTGAATCTGTGGTACAGAGGATAAGAAGTGTGCAAATTTTCTTCTATATTAACACAAACAATCATAATAAAAAATCCCTCTCCCATTAATAACAAGTTTTTCATTCTAAATAAAAAGCGTTTCCCCAGGTTAAATTCACTGTGCAGAAATAACAATTCTACTATGGCTGCATATACTTAAGACAAATAAATACAGTCACCGCATAGTTTGTACATTTCATATATTTAGAGAGGCCCTACAGTAGTTCAGGAATACAGTTGAAGAATTGTTCCCTGAGTTCTTGAGATAACCCCAAAGGTTAAGTTCATGGACTCTTAGTGATAAACAGCCCCACATGGTTTGCACATCTCGCTCCAAAAAATAGCTGCTTTCCTGCGAAGTGGTTTTTTGTAGTGTTTTCCCTACAGCTCAAGTGCTTGCAGACGGTGGCTTTGTAAACCATCCCTTGGATAGCAACTCCAAATTGGGTGAAAGGGCTGTCCCAAGTAAGTAAAGCCTTGACCTTGGTTAACAGTTCAGGTGAGTCAATCAGTTGGCCTCTGTAAAGTTTCACCCCCAGAGCAGTAATACTGTCATTGAAGCGAGAAGCTGAGTTTATATTACACACAGATTTTGCTGACATCAGTGGTTGACCTTTAGCTCCATTTCCTTTTCTGAAGAGTTTACTGATGGAGTCGAAGAACTAAACTATTAAATACAAATGGTGTTTCAGTATTTATATGTTCAGGGCACCTAAATTTGGTTTTTAAATAAATAAAGTTCAAAATAAAGTTTCTAATTGGTTTAGAAACTTAAATACCTGGAACCTATATGTAGATGTGTTCACAGCAATCATTTTAAAACACTTTTATTCAGAACTAGGGTTTTAAGATTCTTGAATTGTTTTCATTTATTTGCCTTCTTGGTATTAGCATGCTAAAAGAAATAGAAATTTTAAGAACAATTTAAGCAAAGATGTAAGTGAATATTTGTTCAAAACATGTTTGAGAGATGCCAATCCTTTGCTGGCAGTTTTAGGTTCGACTTACTTTTAGCCATTAAAGGTTTGAGGGGTTGGGTATGAAAAAGTGAGGGAGCTTGTGAGGATGCACGGAAAGCTCCGTCCATCTCAACAAAGTGCACAAGTGGTCTTTGGCGTGGCTACGACCTCAGAGGAGGTGCAGAAGTCCATGGCGCTGGTGTCAGGTTCCTGACTATATTACTGAGGCTGGCAATCTTCTCTTCTAGAAGGCAATTCTTCTTCTCTGCTGTTCTCTGCCGCTGCTCAGTCATTTCCAGGGCTTTCAACAACTGGGCATTTTCAACATACAAATCCTTCGCCATCTCATCTGCATTAGTGTTCTTGCAGAGCTAGAAACAGAACCAGAAACATCTTGACTCCATTTCTGTTCAGTGTGCTTTTAAGCTAAAGCTCTGGCATACAAACAGTTGTCTCTAAAGGCAAAGGGTTTCTGTTCATTGTATTCTTTTATTTACAGGACAGTTTTCACATCGGCACTGACATCAGGGGTACAACTGGAGCAAATTCATTTTTAGCCCCCGAGGTGTTTCTTTGTACAACATGCTTGTAGAAGTTACTGATAAACAGGTTGATATAACTAAGGGGTCAAAAATGGAAAGTTTTTCCCACCTACATGAATTAGATGTTCTATCCTTATTAATCTTAATTTTCTAAAAAATATCAACATACTTTTACAGCTTAAGTTTCTGAAGTACACAGTGTGAACTACATTTAAATCTGCTCTTAACATCAGATGCTTGGTCTTCCCATTTATAATATACAGCCTACTGATTATTTACAAATGTGGTTCATGTATTTTAACCGAGATATTTGAGTAGTTACTTTCTTTAATTCTTCCTCTTTTGCATAGTGCCTTACTATTCTAATCTTATGATTAGAATATCTGTATATTCTAAATCAGAGTATATAAATACTTCTATAGACTATATAGATCTATGGAGATATACAAGTATTCTAATCATATGATCAGAATATATATTCCCCCAAACCCAAACTCCCCGCCTTGGTGCCAATTCCGACTCTGAACAACAGCCGGATAGGGCAGGACGGAACAGCCCCTGTGGGTCTCCAGAGACTCACTCTCTACCTTTCTCCTGTGGAAGCTGCTGGTTTTGAACTACTGACCTTGTGGTTGACAGCCCAATGAACAATCACTATGCTACCAAGGCTCCTGCACCCAGGTAATCTAAAAGCAGGCAGAATATCTAAAAATATAAAAGTTTAAAGGAATCAAGAGCAACTTGAAGAGTGGCTAATTAACTTATTAGCATTTCAGAGAGCAAGGATCAGGCCTGAGACTCTCTGAAGTCCAGAAAGTGAGTGACTGGCAGCTGCAACCCCCTGACAACACCTCTGATCCTACCATGGATGGAACACTGCTAACACAACTTCTCTCTCTTCCCTCCCTGCCTTTCATTCACAAACCCTTTGGTGGCTCCTCAGCATCTACAGAATGAAACTCGCTCAGTACATAAGGCCTCGCTCGCTCTTCTGGCTCTCCCTGGACAGCAGGCACTGCTAATATCAGAGGGACTCTACAAGCCCATGGCCCCAAATGCCCCCACCCCACATTTCTGCATTGGTCCAAGCTGTCAACCCTCAAGACCCAATGGAAGAAGCCTTCAAGAATATTTCTTTAAATTCCTGGGTGGGATTAAGACTCTCTTCTTTGTGTTCCCTTCTAAAGAAAATTTAAGGGGGACTCCTGTTCTCTGGGGTTTTGAATGTACCACTGGCCAAATGGTTGGCAAATGTGCGTAGTTTCCCCACAGAGAAAGGGACTTCGCTATGTCCACTGCTGCAGCTCCCGTTCCTAGAGCAGAACCTAACACGAGGTGTCAGATGAGCAGTTGAAGGATGGAGTACACAAGTGCTTATTGAACAAGACTTCCGATTTCTCACCATTCTGGGTGTTCAAATACGGGACAAAGAAAAGAGCCTGCCTACCTCTGCATTCAGATCCTCCTGCGATGGATTGATCTTAGGCTTCATGTACCTTGCAAACCAGTTTCCACCTCCCTCCTCACTAGTCCATTTCCATTTCAGTTTCTGCAGAATTTGCACAACTCTTCTGGAGGTAGCCTTCCTACCTGTCTCCTTGGTGGACATATAACTGATTTCCAAATGCTGAAGCTAGACTGCTACCACTCGGTGAGCACACTCCGGCTGCTCGGTGGTCTTAGAAATTGCAGACTGCTGATTCGAAGTGTGTACGCGTTTTGCTTTGTTCTTGAAGTCTGGCTATAGTTGTAAGGTACTTGTTGAGGTTATCACAAGCTATTGGAACAGGAAAGCTAAAGTTACATTTATCACTATTACTCTTTTTCCTGTCTATTTAAATAGGAACGTTTCCTGACTTGGGCCAACCCCTCACACCCCTCTGCAACTGTAAATATTAAATTTGAGCCGTGGAAAGTTCACTAGAAAGGCTTTAGGCCTATGTGAGGCATTGCTGCTCAATTGTGAAAAAAAAAACAAACGAACATGTCTTAAAATAATTTGGAGGGAAGATGGTGTAGAACACAGAATTCATATTTTGAGGAGAGTGGGCAAGAGAGTTCTAAGGTCTTGCAAACATTTGCAGAATTGGCCTTTATTAGATGACAAGGGAAGTTACCGTACTAATGGCAATAAAGGAAGGGGAGAGTGGAGTGAACAGTGGAAGGTGGAGTGGGTGGGCAGAGATGACCAGGGAGGCTCACTTGTTCTTTAAGCTGATTCACTTTCTCCTGGAGAAGCCTTTTCACCAATTTCAGTTTCTGTTCAATTTCCATCATTCGTTCTTCCATGACTGTTACCACTTGCTCCTGGTTTCCCTGAAGAGAAGGGGAAAAGGGGCATTATCCTTTAAAAATCAAGCCACACTGGAAAACACCAGGTGTATCTACCTATTCCCCATAAGATGCTTAGAGACAGGAGAGCAAATGCTGTGTCTCTGTGACCAGAAGCGTGACCTCTGATGCAATGGGACTGCTGGATGCACATGTTAGAAAAGTAATCCTGCTCAACAGGGAATCAAAGACAACAAAAACAAAACACAAGAAGCCGACCCCCCAAAAGTGTCTTACCTTTGGTACCATCGTCTTGAGATAAAGCAAAATTCTTTTTTTTTT